GAGTGGAGAAAGAGAAATGGATTGAAGGTCCAGATAAAATTGGAGAACAAATATAATGGGGAAAAAGGTGAAATATTTTATTGATTTTGAACGTGAAGTGGTTTTTTAGGAGGTGGCAAATTCCAGAATATGATTATGGAAACAGGTGGCTGAGGCAGGATGGAGGAAAAGGTCACTTGAAATGTGGCAACCAAAGAACTAACAGGCCAGGGTGAATAGTCCAGATGGACAATGACATTGACAACGATGCAAGAGTTGAGACAGAGTGGAAGTCATGGACCAGGTACCAAATTCTAAAGAACAAGTGAATGAGTCAGGTAACAGAAAAGAGAAGAGGGGAAGATATGGTAGAACACAGCATGAGCCACCATATTCCAGAAATATTCTGGAAGTAGCCCTGGTGAATGAGGAAAACATCCACCAAACCTCTATGAGGTGTCTTCAATGTGAAAGAAAAATACTCCATAGAATAGACTCCTGACTCAGAAACACATTGACTGGCTATGGAATTGTACATGTGACCAAGGTGAATGTAAAAGAGATAACGTACCTAATGTTTTATACTCAAATTTTACAAAAATCAGCTGTACATGCTCAGGACAGGAGGGATTTTGCTTAAAGAACCTTCATGTGAAGAAGTCAGAGAGACTGTAAGCAACTAAATGTCACTACCCCCAAAAGTATCTTGGCCACAATTAATGCAACTATAGGAATATGTTAAAATGTGATAAGCAGAATTTCCATGTTACTTTCTAAAACTGAGATTAAATAATTTGCATGTACTGCTTTTTAAACAATGTTCATTATAGGGAAGAAATAATGCCCTTCTTTTATTTATGTTTTTAAGTAAGTGTTGATAAGCAATAAAATTAAGTTTAAAAAGGATATAAATTTTTCTTTGATTCAACTTCTACAAAATGAAAAATCTCAGTAACGAAACTCCCTTTCAATATTATACGGAGTGATTTGTGACTTTGCTCTTCCCCTATTTAGGTAATAGAGTACTAACAGACGTGACTTTGCCTACAGTTCTGGAAGGGTCCCTAACTGGGAGGGTGTTTATCAACCTAAAAAAAAGGAATGTGTACATTTTGAAGAAAAGTAAAAGAAGCCACATTAAGTTACTTGTTTATTTCAATTAATTTTCTTTTAAAAATTCATGAAACATTATTTTATTATTGTTATAATGCTTATATAGTGAGTTAAAACTGGGAGAAGAAAAATTAAAGAAAATAGCCTCAGGCTTTCCTCCATTGATTTTCTCTTGAGGCAGTATGGCATTATGTGAGGTTTTATGTAATATGTTTATAAAGATTATTTTTTTAAATATTTTTATTTATTTAAGTGCCCAAATTTTAACTATATACTATATTTAAAACAAACAAAATACCTTTGAAATGGTTAGGAAAAATACTACAAATGTCCTTGAGTCCTTTATTTTGATTTCTCTGTCATCAATACTTCTGACTATCAGTAGCTTTAGGTATACTGGTAAGCATTAGTGCAAACCCAGGGTATGTTCTTGTCTTTCTGTTTTCATATTACCAAACCTAACCAGCCTTACTGTAGCTCTCCAATTCACAAAGTACTCATACTATATAATCGGAGACTTTTGCAACCATCCATATATTTTAAAGGACTCATTGAGTCCTGAAAGGCAAATGCTATCATTCAAGTTCTAATTACATGCTACCTGGGTTTTACAGAACAGAAAAAAAAATGAGGACTATACTTCCTAAATACATTTTTTGGCCACAAGCAACTTCCAAAATAAATGCCCCAAATATTTTCTGAATGTATCACTGTACAAATAGCTCAAGCACTGGCCTATTCAAATTATGTTCTAGTTTCTCCCTATGCTGCTTCCACTTGATAAATTGGTCAATAAATGCCAAGTCAGATATTCAGGTAAATATATTTTCATTATTATTGGCAGACATATAATTAACTCTGAGAATAAAAGATACAAGAAATCAATTTATGATTACTTCTTCAGTTCTTCCCATTAGTCATTTACATTATAATTGTGGTTCCACTTTTAAAATCTTTATCCATACACATACACACACACACCACTCTGACTGTAAATCAAATTATTTCAATTACAAATTAGTATTGTGTGAACTGTGAACCTCATATGTTAATTTTATTAGTAAGATACAATTGTACTATTACCCATGTATACGAGCGGATTAAAAAACAGTGCACATTTAAGAGCCTATATTAATTAGTAATTTCAGCAGATGTTTCTAAACAATGTTAAGGATTTGCTCTGTCTTTTCTCATGTATAAATATTTGAGTCAACATTTTTTATGAATGTGTATTTATCAACAAATTACATTTCCATTTTGACAAAATAGGTCGCCAGAAAAGAAAATAGTACAAAGAATAAACCTATTTTTTTCAAAGAAGATACACAAGAACATTTTTTTTTAACATTTGTTATGTGTCAGGTCAGTATCTTCACCAATCCAGGAAAAATGCATTTTGTATAAAAACTTAAGTAAATGACCTTTTAAAAACTGCCCTAAACTAAATGCAGAAGCTTCAGATACATTATTATATGTGGATTTGATGAAGAAAAAAATTTAAGATGAGCTCAAGAAGTCTGTTTCTTTTATTTTTTATATCAATTTTTTTAAATGTTTATTTATTTTTAAGAAAGAGAGAGAGAACGTGCACTAGTAGGGCAGAGAGAGAGGGAGACACACTTCAAAGCAGGCTCCAGGCTCTGAGCTGTCAGCACAGAGCCTGATGCAGGGCTCGAACTAACCAACTGCAAGTTCATGACCTAAGATGAAGTTGGATGCTTAAACAGACGAAGCCACCCAGGCGCCCCAAGAACTCTGTTTTAAGAAAATTTGCTATCGTTACTCAATTGTTACTTTCATTATGGTGGCTTAATTGCTTTTAATTATATATCATGGACAAATCATTTAACTTCTGTATTTTCTCACCCATAGAGGGAGATTCGTTATGGCGCCTCATCACAGGATTCCTGGCAGGGATAAGGAAGGAGTTAATATGGGTAAAGCATTTAGAACAGTACCCAGCAGGGGCGCCTGGGTGGCTTAGTAGGTTAAGCATCCGACTTTCGCTTAGGTCATGATCTTGCGATTCGTGGGTTTGAGCCCCGTGTCGGGCTCTGTGCTGACTGCCAGCTCAGAGACTGGAGCCTGGAGCCTGTTTCAGTCTGTGAGTCCCTCTCTTTATGACCCTCCCCTGCTCATGCTGTCTCTCTCTCTCTCCTAGAAATAAAAACAACAACAAAAAAAAAAATTAAAAAAAAAACAACAGTGCCCAATATACAGTAAGCGCTCAATGTGTTAGCTAAGCATTATCTAATTGTATGTTTTGCCTATTATTTTATTAGCTTCCAGTTACCATCTTGAAAGTATCTTAATTATTTTTAAAGAAAAAGAAAGCTACATCATGACATTCTTAATGCTCTGCCCGTTCCATCAGTTTACAATATTCTTGTCAGTAGCTACTTCATCCGCCACTCACAAGCAAAACAGGACCTAGTACTCATCAATTGATTCACACACCAAAGCAAACTATGTGCTGGGCACTGGATACAAGTTGTGGGAACAAAAGATGGGTAAGGAAAAAATGCCAGATGTGTTGTTCCCAAAACAGTGAAAGATACAAACACAAATTCAAGTATGTACTGCTGTTTAATTATAACCTGGTACAATGAATGCTATAATAAAAATTTTTTCTAAGCTGTTCAAGGGCGGCCTTCACAGGTCATCAGGTAGAGAAGGGATCTAGGATTACTTTGTTGCCAAAGATACCTGGAAATCCCTCACACTGGTACGTTAAAATAGACATATTTGAAGCAAACAGCCTTCCTCAAACAGATTTCCCATTGCACACAGCTTGTTTAGTTTATCTCCAGGTGTTGAAAAAATACTTTTGAATGACTGTCTCTCATAGTAAGGCCTTCATTAGGGCATACTTGGCTGATGTTCTTAGCTCCCTTCCTCCCAGAGTTCAGAGAAATCTTGCTAAAACCACTTTTATCACACCACTCCCTGATCAAAAGCCTGGAATGGTTTCCTCCTATTTCCAGATATCAGCTCTCTGCTTTGACTAGATTTCTCTCCCAATATGCCCTGGGCATGATTCCTTTTTGTTCATATCCTCTCTTTGCCCCAAATGCTTTTCTCCTGTTACTCATTTCTGCCTTTCCAAGATTCTACCCACCCTTCAAAATCCCCCTTTAAGAAGCCATCAGATGCCCTTCCTTCTATTGAAAACAACAGAACTTTTCAAATGATGCAGAAAAAAAGAGAAACGCTATTGAAAAAAATTACACTTTTGGATGAAAGAAATGTCCAACATGTAAAGGCAGGGGCTGGTTCAAAAGTTAATACTCAATTGTTACATCAACACAGCCTTAAACTATTTACTATGTAAAATTTATACACTGCACCAACTACTTATTGAACAATTTTCTTTCCCCAGTGACATTGGGCTCTTTTATGTTTTATTTATTTTTTTTAATTTTTAATGTTTATTTATTTTTGAAGCAGAGAGAGACAGAGGATGAGTGGGGAAGGGGCAGAGAGAGAGAGAGACACACGCACACACACAGAATCCAAAGCAGGCTCCAGGCTCCGAGCTGTCAGCACACAGCCCGATGCAGGGCTTGAACTCACAGTGAGATCATGACCTGAGCTGAAGTCACACGCCCAACCGACTGAGCCACCCAGGCGCCCCCGGGCTCTTCTAAAAACTTAACCATCCTTCAACAGGGACAATCAATTCATTACTTTCAAACTGGTTTCTTTAGGACAAGTTCATATTAGAATGAGGGTCACAGGACTTGGCGCTTGAAATACTAGCCAGCAATGCGGAACTACACTAACCGGCTTAGTAATGTGCTTCCTACTTGAAGACAACTAGTGACAGGGTAAAATATCCTCAAAAAGCCAAGTTAAAACAGACTTCTTTTTTTCAAGTGACAATGAGCAAGTTCCACCCGTCAATCTACCTTTGACTCCAATTTGATTTTCTCTTCATTGAGCATCTCAGTTGCTTTCTTAATTTCTTCTCGACATCTGTTAATTTCCGACCTTACTGTAACACAAATTACATCCTTAAACACCTCCATCCGTCTCAGGCCCCCACGTCTGCTCACGTGGACAGCAGACACGACACCCCACCCCACCCCACCCCCCACCCCTCCGCTCTGACCACGCCTCGGGCTGCCTTGAGCTCGAGCCCCCCACCTCCAGGAATCAGAGACCCCGGCGGGAGACAGAAGCACCCACCTTCTCGGATCAAGCGGCGACTCTCCTCTGCCTGATGCTCCGAGAAGATGATGTGCTGAAACAAGGACTCTAAGCTCATCTCGGGCCCGGGCTGCCACGGATCCTTCCTGCGCTGCCCCTCAGTATTTGAGAGCCGAGGCTGCGCGTTCTAGAAAGCACAACAGGAAGGAGCAGCGTTCAAGGGCCACACTTCCCTTCTTCCCGTACAGCCTCGGCTCCGCGGGGGCGCCAGCCTGGCTCCAGGCCTCTGTTTCCCCTGTTCACTAACGACTGACAACCACCCCCCCCTCCCCCGGCTTTTCCCCGGGCCAGCAACCGTTTTCATTCCCTGGCTGAGCGCAGCTCCGCTCATCGGAGGCCAAGGCCAAGGCCCCTCTCGGGGTTTCTTTTCTGTGCTGGTGGCAAATAAAAATGGCGGCCCCGAGAGCCGTGGCTCTGGAGCTTGCCTGGGCGGCAGCCCTTTGTGGCCTGCCTTTTCCTCTCCGCTCTTCTCTTTTTAGGGAGAAGGTCCACATAAAGCTCCCTCCCTCAGCACCTCAGTGGAATGTGTACTAGCTCACAATACCATGGCCTGGAGACTTTCCCGGAGGCCGCTGCCGGCCTTGGCTTCGGCTTGGCCTCGCCTCATGAGGCTTAAACTACGGCGTCTCATTAGGCTCATTCTGCATTCAAATGTTTCGCTTTGCTCATGTGGTCCCAAAGATCTTGAGACCTCACTTGGGCTTTGGGTGATCTATCTGGAAGGCACAAACACCCAGCGTCATAAAGAACTAAGTACTCATGATTCTAAATATAAACTGCAACGTCTTATCCTTTGACTGTGGCAAAGACTGCTATAAATGTGCAATGTCTGACATTCCGCCTTAATCATTCCTTTGTAATCAGGGCATATCTTTTTAGTCTGCTTTAAAATTAATCATTGCCTTTTGTAATCAAGCTTCAGTAATATTAACACTTCAATATCTGCACAATATGTGTCAGAGACCAAAGTGGCTGCTAATTAAAGCTTAACATGAAAGGCACCTTTGGGACTTTTGCATGGGTTCTTAAATTAAAAAATAAAGTGTTTTTAGTTTTAGTAGGTCAAAATTGTAAGATTATAATAAACATTTGACTTTATTTCTGAAAGTAGAATTGACTTTGGCTAAACTTAAAAAAGTAATTTTTAGTTAGATTATATTAGAACTGAAAGATGGTAATATCATCTGTCACATCATCTGTATAAGAGATTTAGTTAATATTTCATTAACGCTGTAGTATATTTGGTTATAAGTTTTAACCTATTTCAAATTTTCATCTCAAGGTCCATCGTGCCATGTCTGATTATAACTTAATTTTTAAACTTCATTATAAAAGAATACAAGGGAAAACTGTAATGCAGAAAAGAATTATCCATCTTGAAAATATTGTGAATAAGTAATAATAATAATTATAGTTAGTACTATTTATTTTGTGTTTGATGGGCACTATTCTGACCACAACAATTTTTACTATTACCTTCATTACCTATTACTTACCTTTACTATTACCTTTACTAATACTTCATAGTATTAGTTGAGAAAACGTAGTCACAGAAGAGTTAAGTATCTTGCCAAGGTGGCATACCTAGTATATGGCAGACATCGAGCCAAAACCAAGAAATGTGAGATCAAAGACCATGAATTTAATTTTGGCTTCGACTCTTGTTTGCCTTTGATTACATCTTAAGCAGTTTACCATTTCATTGAAAACTCCTCATAAATACAGTTTTATATGTTCATAATCCCCCATCATGTGATGCATGTGTAAAATTCAGATATACTGAAATAAATTTGACTCTTTTATCTGTTCAAGGATGGAAAACAACACTGAAATTGTGGTTTGAACCATTTTCTTTGAGCACTCATCTGGAGGCTTATGAACTGTGCCATGGCACTATCAAAGGAAAGGGCTTCCAGAAGATAAATTACATTACTAATTAATATCACTCTCTTCAGAATTATTTCCTGTGGACTTGCACAGGGGGCATCCTCACAAGGAGGCTGCTTTTCAAAAGCATGCTGCTCTTTAACATTCCGATTTTATTAGTTACACTCAAACTCACATTTATTATTTAACATGTTCTTTCTGTACCAAAACTTGGCAGAATGGAATTTGGGCAGCCTTTGGGGAGCCTAGTCGCCTAACTCACGCAGCCTTATCCAAGAAAGAACTGTTGGAAACTCTGGAATGCGGTTGGGGGAAGAAATGTCTTCTTCATCTTCTGCAGTCTCCATATAACAGAGTATTTTGGTGTTCTTAAATCCCAAGTTCAATTCTTCTTACAGGTACCAAACTATAGGTACCTCTAGGCAGGGTTTTTTCTTTTATTTGTTCAAGCAAACATGATTATACAAGCCCACAATCAAATTCTAAGTGTTTTATAATTATATAATGAGTAAAAGTAACATGTTAAGATATTAAAATACTGCGATCGTATACTAGCTTTATTCATTTGTTGTATACTAGCTTTATTCATATATTTTCTTCAGTAATATAGTCTTATAGATATACATGCTAATTACATTCCATAATATTCAGAACAAGGGTAGCATTACTTAAGTTTATGCCAAATAAACATGGTATATAGCCTGGTAAAACTAGGGCATGCCATTTTCTGAAAATGTTATCTTTAAGTCGAAAAAAATGATTTGTTCAACAACTGTTTAATGAGCTTGCTATTCAATCAACATTCATTCAACAAATACTATTGAGCATCTCCTATGTGCCATATTAAAGAAACAACAACAGGATTTAATAAAAACAGAACTACATAAAAACTATTTTTCTTCCCCCGGATATTTCTAACCTCATTGGAGAATTATTATATTTTTCAGCATTTTGGCATCAGTATAAACAACTGTTCTCAGATGTTTCAACAGATGTTCTTTAGAAAAAAAGTCAATTATTTGCATTATGATACCCACATATGATTCTCAGATCTAAACTTTCCATCTGTACATGTTTCATTGAATTGCATACCTATGAAATATAAAAGTTAAGATCACTCATTGTCTCTCAACCTCAGACTTTTGTTCATAAAAACTCTAGCACCTGGGTTATTGAGCCATTGATAATTGCTTTGCTAGAAGGCCTTACATAAGGCTAGATTGCCCTTGTGATTTAAAATACATTTCTCTCCTTTCTTAGATTGATGACTTCCCTAGGTTCTAAACCAGGCTTGCAAATACCCCCTAGCCCAGGGCATATATATTGCAATGAAAAGAAGAAAAGTAATTCATTTATTTTATGTTTTTCTCAGGGCATCTGCCAGAAAAGAAAAACAAAATGTAGGTTCAACCAAGTTTAACAACCATTTATTGAGTATCTACTAAGTATAAAAATATCTCTACTAGGTACTCTGGGGATACAAAATTGGAAGGTACAAGCCCTGCCCTTCTGGACGTCATCATCTATCAAGTGAGACAAAGCATGCACACATAACTTCTACGCAGGCTGTGTAAGAGACCTTTACCCTTGTGTTACAGGAATATGGCAGAGGGAGAAAGAATAAGTCTGATGTGGGTGGAAGACTTATCAAGCAGGGATGGAAAATGAGCTACATTTCAATGAGGGTGCAACTTCAACAGTTAGTGAGTAAGGGAGAAAAAAAGCAGAAAGTTAGATGAAGCCAACATTTAGAGGGTGTTTAACATTTTCATATACTATGTAATGAGGGACCATGTAATGTTTTCCAGCAAGTGAGTGGGCCTTTCAAAGTTGCTCTAGATAATCAATCTGTGGCACTGAGTTAGAATCACTAGAAAGGAAGAGAATAACAGCTAAAATGTATGAATAACTTGCTATATGCCAACCACCATCTGAGATCTTGATACATCTTAATTCTCTTTATCAACCCAATAACCTTTTAAGATCAGTGGTTTATTTGTTCCCCTTACAGTTGGGGAACTAAGGCAGAGTAGTTGCCTGTCCAAATCCCATACAGTAGCAGAATCAGGATTTAAACCCTGATAATATCTTAAGGCAGATCCTAAACCACTTCATTTCCTGCCTCCAAAAACTAGAGGCTGAAGAAAATAAGACTATTTCAGCAGCTGTGTTTCATTTCAAAGCAGATACATTTCCTAAAAAAATGCTCACCAACAAATTAATATTTTCTCAGAAGACTTTTTTGATTTATGGAATTCAGATTAATGATGTAATACATGTACAACAAATTAAAATCAAATGTGATTTAAAGAAAAATAATTGAGAATGGATCATGCTTTATAAATGCTTGTTTAACCAGTCTTATACCTAACATGAAAAACTAAAAATGAAATTTGTATACAGAGGATTATATTCATTTCCTGATTTTTATATTAGTTCTCTGGTGCTGCTAAAACAAAAGTATCACATCTCGGTGCTTCAGAACAACAGAAATCTGTTGTCCCACAGAATGCAACCCAGAAGTCTGAAATCAAGATGTCGGCAGGGTTAGCTCCTTCTGGGCCCTCTAAGGGAGAATCTGGTCTTTGCCTCTTCCTATATGTTGGTTCTTTGGTGTTTCTTGATTCACAGATGCAACACTCCAATCTCTACCTCCATTGTCCCTCGGAGTTCTTTTAATCTGTCCCTGCCTCTTTGTCTTTTTCTTCTTCTTACAAGGATACTGCTCATTTTGGATAAAAGGCTTACCATACACCAGTATGACCTCATCTTAAATAATTACATCTGTAATAATCTTATTTCCAAATAAGGTCACATTCTGAGCTACTGAAGGCTTAGAACTTCAAAGTATCTTTTTGAGGATACAATTCGATGCATATAACAGACCTTAAAACTCAAGTCGCAGAAAAAAAATAGTTATAAGAAAAAAGTCTAAGTAACTGATTTATTTCTATTACAATCAAAGCGTTTTTAGTGTTTAAAGTGTTTTAGTGTTCAGTATTTATTTTAGGCTTAAGAAAACATCTTGCACAATTCTTTTATTTTTTAGATGTTAGCACCGAGGCCATGGAGGTTGATGGATTTCCCCAACATTGCACAGGCAATTAATGTGAGAGCTAGTCTAGAACTCCTTCCTAATTCCTTCTGCTCCAATGAAAGATCTTTTTTGTTCACCAGCGGCTTTCATCTACTTCAGTTACTCCTCTTTTATCTTTTTTCTATATTGAACTTTCTGGTGAGAGTTTGAAGAAAGGGTATAACAGTTAGGGTTCAGAGCTGGCCTGGGGCAATTCACCTACTGTAGGAGCCGTTCTCCATTAAGGAGATTAGACAGATAGAGAGAGAGAGACAGGTAGATAAATACAGGTGCATATTGAGAAAACACACATGCATACATACATATGCATACACATATAAATACACACATATATACGATAAAGTTATATGTATAAATATAAATACTTAAGGGTGCTGATTTTATTTTTGGTCTTTTACAATAGGAATGAAAGTAAACTGTCGATTCTTAATTATTGATTGAAAAAAGCAAACTTATTTTGGTTGTGAAATATATTGCATGAAGAAATTCCAGTAGCACACTAGGAATCATGGGATAGAAAACTCTTTGGAATTAGGGAGCTATAGCAAAGTGAACTTGGATTTTCACGCTGTCAGAGTCAGGAGCCCAGCACAGGAGCCAGGAAGGCTGCCCCAGGTGCACTTTCCCTAGATTAGCCAATCAGCAACACCTCCCCCCCCCAAACAAAAACAAAACAGACC